AAACAAGGCGCGCTGCGGTAGGCGACCGTCGGACATACGCAAAACGTGTCTTAACCAAAGGAGCCTACTGAACTGGATTCGCTGAGATAGTGAGTTCTTGTTCACTGCATTCCCAAACACCCGACGACTTACTTTCAAGTTACTAATCCACTCACTCCATCCCACTTGGGCCAGACTACCTAAGCNGGCTTTTAAATAGGAGTCGGGTGACCAGCCTGAAACCCACCACACCTTGGTAGTGCCGCCTCTGTTTGTTCGCAACTGCTTATTTGTTGCGGTATGCCACAACTTACTTACAGCTAACCTGCTTCGGTGAAGGTACCCCCTATCCACAACCCGGGGACGCACCTGGTAGCATTCAGCTCTGCTTAGCCCAAGGGAGGGGAAACTCGGATGATACCTCGATCGACTGCGTTAGTATTTCTGATTTAATATGCGTCCACGGAAAAATTATCCCTTTAAGGGGTGGTAGTAGTCAACTTCGCTATTAAGACAGAATAAAGATAGACTGTCGGTATCTGAACACCAATGTCTACGCAGCATTACACCAAACTGGTAGGGCAGCCGGACGAGCAATGCTGAGGTTAGGCGCAGAGTTTTAGGTAATCGTGGTCGCCTACTGGAGCAAGTGGTCAACCTCCGTAGATCGCGTTGGTAGGGCATGTGTTGCGCATGTCACCAAATAGGTTGCCACGGTGAGCGATGTTTGCCTACGCAGGTAGTCGGTGGAATAAAGCCAAGGAGAGTCAAAATAAGACCTGAAAATCTTGACCATGAGCCTCAGTCGCGTAGGCCGTGTTAGACTCTCTGAGTGGAGACCTCCGGATGATCAAAACCGATGGTTAGAGACACTGAGTGATATGGCTGAGTGTCATAAACAATGGCATTTGTGCATTTTAATTTCCTTGTAACCCTAGTGTTACGGAGTTGATCGTATGATTGATGAGAACTTGTAGTGTATCAAATCACACGTTTAGTCGGCAGACAAGCCATAACACAACGCCTTGATGATAGGCTTTAATAGACCGAAAACGAGGCATGAGAGCTAAAGGACAAGAATATGCGCCCAGAATAACGGCAATCTATGCAAGAAATGACAATAATAAATCTACAGCACCTAGTTCACTGAGATTCTCCATTTTTTCTTTGACTCTACTTTTAACTACTGCTTCATCCAAGTGGGCCTCCAAAAGCCTCAGTATGGTCGGGGGTGGGTGTCCAGGGTTGCGGCTGGTCACCCTGCCCTTGCACCTCACGAAATGCCCCATACGATCAAGCGTCTCAAATAGCCTCTGCTGAGGAGGTTCTACTTACTGCCTTCTCGCGGCGGAGGTGTTTTCCCACCAAAGTGAGAGGACAAAAAGCCGATATCCGGGGCTATAGCCAGGTTGGTGGACCACTGGCAGTTCACCTAGGGGAGTTGGCCAAAAACCCTGATTCCAAACCAACCATGAGGAGGCGTACGAACCACACCAACACCTTCTCGGTTATGGCAGTGGTCACCGGTCCAATTGGGCATTGAGGTGTATTGGGCACCTTGAAAGTCTGACCCCGTCCGAAGGGCGTATGATCCGATGAACTGCACACCGGCTCCCAATGGAATGCGGTTTTCACACACCGCCCCACTGCCTTGCGGGTCAGGCTTTAGCTAGCCGAAGGCTCCCGTCGTGGATTCCTCAAAAAAATTCACCTGCCTTGGCCTGGGCAACCTGGCAGTACTCAGCCCACAAGCCAATCATGGAACATTTTCCTTTTTATAAAGATTATTGTACCATGATTTGTTTGGCACACAGTCTGTCCTCAGACAAGTGAGAAATATAATAGTAATCATCCAAGTGGACAGCCAAAAGGCAGCAACTAAAACCGGTGCATGAAAGTGCATGGTTAATGGTTGTAAACAAAAACTGATTAGTCAGGTGAGTACAAGTTGAGAACCCCATCACCACCGCCCAGCGATGTACAATGATGATGATGACCAAGGGATGATTTTTATCAATGGCTAGAAACAATCAGATATATGGCTGAGTATAAAACTTCGTGTTCCTAATATTATACAGACTAGCTGTTGGAAATCCGTGTCCAAAAAAATGACTAACAAACAAAAAATATCAAAAATTTTACCGTGAAGTAAACAACTGTTTCCCAGTAGTTTCTTCGTCTATCCTGTTTTCTGATCACTTAAAATTCTTTCTCATACAGTAGTATTCCCAAAACTGTTTTATTTTATTGTGCGCAATAATTTTAGTGCATACGGTCGATTCCCCATTTATGTAGTTAGATGAAGAACGCCTCCTGCATCTTCATTTCATTAACCGTGCGTTTACGTTTCATTGACCACTGATCATGTGCCTCCGTGAGCCGGTTTTGGCTACTTTACTTTTGATCGACCAACTCCTGCGTGAGGATAAGTCGGCTTCCTGGTTGTATCTAATGATGGTGGTCTATGCATGACGATCGGTAGCAAGGTTGGCGCAGTGAGAAACCCAGTTCTGGTTTCAGTTGCGAATTCCATTTTCGGATTGAATACCTAGTAAATCCAAATCCTCCTTGATCGTGCTACTCCAGGTTTTCAGCTGGCCACCGAGTCGGAAACGCCATCCACGGCACGGCGCGGGGGCTACATCCATTCGCAAGAGTTGAGTGTCGGGTCTTCGGAGCACATGGCCAAACCACTGAAGGCGCCGGCGTTGTAGCATTTTTGAAAGCTTGTCGATGTTCGAGCAGCGCCGTCGAACCTCATCATTGGAAACCCGATCTCTCCAGTTTGCTTTCAAGATGCGGTGTAAGCACCAATGATCAAAGACTTCGAGCTTCCTTGTATCTTGTAATCTTAGCATCATCATCATTATCATTGTACAGCGTAAAACAGTGAAGCGAACTTCACTGATCGAAGCCAAACTCATATTGCATACAATGTAAGTGAGAATGTGCAGGGAAGATAGGGATTGCACTTAATTTTAGGGAAGGGGAAAGAAAGCGAACCTCTAGGGTCAACACACAGAGTACACAGTCCAACTGTGCATACATACTAGTTCAAGCATTCTGGACTGATAAGAAGTAACAGCATGATCGCCATTGCTGCCGGTTCGCAGCCATGACTCTCAGTGTCTCCAACCATGTGGTTTCGGAGTCTTTTGGACCCCAATCCGGAGGACGAGAGACGCCTACTCTACCTAATCGCTCTGTGTATTTCTTCATGCCTCATCTCCTGGCCCCCACGTAGCTTTCTCCAGCCTGTAACAGCCACTGCAAACAAGGTGCACTGCGGTAGGCGACCGTCGGACATACGCAAAACGTGTCCTAACCAACGGCGCCTACTGAGCTGGATTCGATGAGATGGTGAGTTCTTGTTTGATATAGTCCCAAACACCCGACGGCTTACTTCTAAGTTACTAACCCGCTCACTCCATCCAACCTGAGCTAGACTACGTAAGCACCGATTGTCGAACACTGCTAAACGACGGGTGTCTTCTACCCGCGAATTCAAGGTCTCACAAGCGTAAAGCAAAACTGATCTTTGAGTGGTGGAGTATATGCAACTTTTCAACTTAAGTGACACGTCACGTCGCCGCCACAGGTGTTTTAGTCCTACGTACGCTGCTCGAGCCTTGGAAATGCGGGCGGTTATCTCCTTTGATGCGCTACCGTCGTTGGTCACGAAGTTACCTAAGCACGAGAAGCAGTCAACTTT